TGGGCCTCCGCCACCGTCGGCGTCCCAGGTGAAGCTCCTGGTTTCTGGCTCAGCTCTGGCCATTGTAGCCATCTGGGGAGTGAAACAGTGGATAGAGGATTCTGACTTTCAAATAAATAGATTTTAAAAAAAGTCATCTGCTGCTTAGATTCCTTTTTGCCAGGTTCCAAGGATTCTGATAGGGACATCTTTGCGGCTCATCAGTGTGCCTGCCAGAATCACCCTCAGCCAGGCTGACACAGAGGGGTCCTATGTGCCATGGTTATGCTTCTGCAGCTCTGTGTGAGGCCACCTGACATTGCTAGAACAGACGCACGCTGGAAAAGCTAGGTAAAGCAAATTCAGGGTACCGTAGAAATATGTTAACAGGGTTGCCTAGGAATTGGGACAGAGCTAAGGAGAGCATGATGAAACGGAGACATTAAAGGGAAAGGGGGCAGGAGAGAACGGAATGTACAGAGATGCAGAGTTGGAGGCACTCAGAAGAGAAAACGCTCGGTATGACTGGAGGTTAACATGTAAGGAAAGAAGCAAGGCAAGAGGCTCAAGAGGCAGGCGGGGGCCAGGTCACCGAAGGCGGCATCAATCATCATCAATCGTATTGAGGGGTTTGCATTTTATCCCTTTATTTAAAAAGCAAAGGAAACAGGGACAAACAGATCTTCCATTTCTGGTTCACTCCCCAAATGTCCACAACTGTCAGGGCTAGACCAGGAGAAAGCCAGGAGTCAGGAACAGAATCCAGGTCTCCCACATGGGTGACAGGAATGCAACTACTTGAACCATCGTCACCTGCTGCCTCCCAGGCTGTGCTACGACCCAAAGCCAGGCACTCCATGGGCGTGGAATGTGGGTCCCTAAGAAGCCTCTTAATCATGGAGTCTGATTACTCATGTACTAAGCACAAGTGCCTAGATCAATTTAATTCTTGCAAGAGCCCAGTGAGGTAAGTGCTATTCCTACGTCTAGTCTGTAGATGAGAACTGAGGCCTGCAAAGAGCTTAAATAACTTGGCCAAGAACACAGAGTAATGCATTGCTGTAGAGCCTGGATCTGAACGCAGGGCTCTTTAGTTCCAAATCCCTATTTCATAAGCATTTGTCCTTGAAGCAAAATTGATTTTTTAAAAAGACACTTGAAAGTCATTGTTACTGGGGCCTGCGCTGTGGCCCACCCTTCAGCACCGGCATCCCATATTGGCATCGGTTCAAGTCCCGGCTGCTCCACTTCGAGTCCAGCTCCCTGCTGTGGCCTTGGAAAGCAGTAGAAGATGGCCCAGGTCCTTGGGCCCCTGCACCCACGTGCAAAGGCCCAGAAGAAGCTCCTGGCTCCTTGCTTTGGATTGGCACAGCTCCGGCCCTTGCGGCCAGTTGGGGAATGAAGCTCTCTGCCTCTCCTCGCTCTCTCTCTGTAACTCTGACTTTCAGATAAATAAATAAATAAATAAATAAATAAATAAATAATTTTTTTTTTTTAAAAGAAGTACATCTGTCATTCGGTTTCTTAACCTCAGCTCTATTGATGTTTTGGGTTGGGTAATTCTTTGTAGGGAGACAGGGGATGTCCTGTGCATTGTAGAGAATCCTTTACCTCTGCCCAGTAGATGGGAACATCACTGTCACCCTTTCCCAGTTATGGCAACCGGAAATGTCTCCAGACACCGCACAATGTCTCTGGTAGAGAACCACTGTTAGATATTATATTTTTATTTCTCTGTCATGTAGTCTGTCCATTTCCCTAAAGAGATGATGTTAAAACCCTGATGATATTTGTAGAAAGGTGACATATTTAAAATAGATTTACAAGGGCCTAGCCGGCGCCGTGGCTCAATAGGCTAATCCTCCACCTTGCGGCGCCGGCACACCGGGTTCTAGTCCCGGTTGGGGCGCCGGATTCTGTCCCGGTTGCCCCTCTTCCAGGCCAGCTCTCTGCTATGGCCAGGGAGTGCAGTGGAGGATGGCCCAGGTGCTTGGGCCCTGCACCCCATGGGAGACCAGGAAAAGCACCTGGCTCCTGGCTCCTGCCAGGATCAGCGCGGTGCGCCGGCTGCAGCGGCGGCCATTGGAGGGTGAACCAGCGGCAAAGGAAGACCTTTCTCTCTCTGTCTCTCTCTCTCACTGTCCACTCTGCCTGTCAAAAAAAAAAAAAACAAAAAAAAAAACAAAAAAAAAACAAGGGCCTGTATTGTGGCACAGTGGATTAAACCACCACCTGCGACACTGGTATCCCATTTCACAGAGTGCCTTCTCCAGTCCCAGCTGCTCCACTTCCGATCCAGCTCCCTGCTGATGAGCCTGGGAAGGCAGTGGAGGATGGCTCAAGTGCTTGGGCCCTGCACCCCATGGGAGACCCGGATGGAGTTCTGGGCTCCTGACTTCATCCTGGACCAGCCATGGCCTTTGCAGCCTTTTGGGGAGCGAAGCAGCATGTGGAAGATCTCTCTCCCTCCTTCCCTCACTCTCCACCTCTTTCTGTGTCTTTAAAATAAATTAAAAGATAAATAAAATAAATTTATGAGGTGGGCATTGGCTGCCATGGGCAAGTTGCCACTTGGGACACCTACACTGCCTTATCAGAGAGTCTGGATCCCAGCTCCTGCTAATATGTATCCGGGGAGGCAGCATTTGATGTCTAAAGTGGCGCTCTCTCTCTCTCTTTTTATTTTAACATTTATGTATTTATTTGAGAGGCAGAGTTAGAGAGAGAGAAATCTTCCATCTGCTGGTTCATTCCCCAAATGGCCACAACAGCCGGTCTTGAAGCTGGAAGCCAGGAGCTTCCTTCAGGTCTCCCACATGGGTGCAGGGGCCCAAGTACTTGAGCCATGTTCCACCGCTTTCCCAGGCCATAGCAGAGAGCTGGATCACAAGAACCGCAGGGAGACCAACTGGTGCCCATATGGGATGCTGGTGCCACAGGTGGAGGCTTAACCTATTACTCCACAGCACCGGTCCCCAAAGTGGATCTTTGTCACCCATGTGAGGGACCTAGATTGAGTTCACGGCTTCTGACTTTAGCCTGACCCAGCCTTGGCTGTTGTGGGTCTTTAGGGATAGCAGATCTATCTATGTATTCATCATGGTTATTTGAAAATCAAAGTTACAGAAAGAGAGTGAGAAACAGATCTTCCATCTGCAGGTTCATTCCCTAGATGGCCACAATGGCTAGGGCTGGGCCAGGCCAAAGCCAGGAGCCAGGAGCTACATCTGGATTTCCCACATGGATGGCAGGGACACAAACACTTGGGCCATCTTCTGCTGCTTTCCCAAGCTATTAGCAGGGAGCTGGATCGGAAGTGGAACAGCTGGGACACAAACTGGCACTCATATGGGATACCGACATCTCAGGCAGCCTACTGTACCACAACTCCAACCCCAATGAACACATTTTTAATAAAGCAAATGTTGTTAGAAGTGAAGCAATTTGCCCAGCATCATCAGCTGTATTAGTCTGCTAGGGCTCCCATAACAAAGTTGAGGCCAGCCAGGGGGGCTGGGAGTCTGTGGGCCCCTGCACACACAGGTCGAATGTCCTTCACAAGCAGGCTGCCAGCTGTGGCTGCAAAGCCTGTCTCCAGGCCAACTGGATCTCCCCCACTAACAGCATCTTGTGATGCCTGTGTGACCTTGCGGCCTTAAATGACACCTTCAGGGTGGGTGCAGTCTCACCCACAGCTGGCAGGGGAAGGGGCCGAGCCCCTGGGGAGAGTCAGGCTGGTTCCAGGAGATCCAGGCTATCTTGTGTGACCTTGTGGCCTTAAATCACACCTTCAGGGCGGCTGCAGTCTTTCACCCAGAGCTAGCAGAGGAGGGGTCTGAGTCATTAAGGAGACAGTCTCCAGGAGACTCCCCCCCATCTCCGTGAGCCCCAAGCCAATCAACATATGTATGTGAAACCCCCTGTCCAATGGGCACCCCGATAGGATGACCCAATGGGCAGACAGCAATGCCTTAAAAACCCGGGACACTTCCTGGAAGCCAGTGTCCCGCTCGGGCACTCCGCCTGGGCTCTTCTCGGAGCAGACGCTTTCTCTGTCACTTGCCGATCGAATAAAAGTTTCTGTCTCTTTGCAAATTGTTTCCAGGCTTTTTCTTTCTATACTAAGCTGAGCAAAAGAACCCATGAGACTCGCTCCAGCAACTGCCCTCCCCTCCGTGACAGGTGACAGACGCATCACAAGAGTGAGTGGCTTAAGCAACATAATCTCTTTCCTCACTGTTCCAGGTCTAGAAATCTATAGGATCACGGTGTCCGCAAGGATGGTTTCTTCTCAGGCCTCTCTTCTGGGCTTGCCTTCTTGGTCACGTGATGTTCCCCCTCCCTGCCTGTGTCCTAACAGCGTTTTCTTAGGAGGACACACCAGTCAGACTGGATTAGGGTCCACCCTGATGAGCTCATTGCAACTGAGTCACCTCTCTAAAGACCCCATCTCCAAACGCAGTCACATTCCTTACCATTTCCACATATGAATTTTGGGCCGGACAGGATTCAGCCGAGAACACCGAGTTTAAGTCTTCTTTCCCCTCTCACTTCCTTTCCTCCGGTGTGTATTGAGCACCTGCTACGTGCCACACGCTCTGCAAAGTGCTAGCAGTGATAAGCAATAGATGTGGTCTCCGCCTCGAATGCTGTGCAGTGAGGCAGGGAAGACAGAAACTTCAAAAGCAGTAACAAATGTCACGCATAACGCTCTGGTAATGGGTGACAGGAAAGGCCTTGCCCTTGCTGTCAAATTCCCAGATTGGGAGCTACGTTAAAACTCAACTAACTTTGAGGTTAATGAATCAGCAACTTGTCAGCCCCGGAGTCGCGTTTTATTACAAAGCGGCAGGAGGCCGGCGGTAGCCAGCAGAGGGCGCCCGCTCAAATCGCCCTTTACTATGACGCAGCTCCCGCCCACTTCCTCCGCGACTGCTCCTCCTTTGGGCTCCCGGCCCCGCCCCCCCACGTTCTCTCCCGCCCTCTGCGAACCCTCCCAGAACGCGTCTACTCGGCCTTAACAATAAAGGTCAGTCGGCCACGCCTGCGCCATAGAGCCAGGAGGCGGGCTCCGCCGGCGGCGGGAGGCGGGGAAAAGCTACGCAAGCAGCGGTCTCCGCCGGCGGCGGGAGGCGGGGAAAAGCTACGCAAGCAGCGGCGACGCCATTTGCTGCTGCCGAGCGTGGGCGCCGGTGGATCTGGGAAGAACTCGGCCGCGAGACACCCGCGCACGCGACACGCTCCCCAGCGCTTGCTTCCTTCCGCGCGCTCCCTCTCGCCGGCCCTCGCGCCCCCCGGAGAAGACCCCGCCGCCGCCGCCGCCGCCGCCGCCGCCGCACTACAGCCATCCGGAAAGAAAGTAGAAACGCCGCGAGGCCACCGTCACCGCCATGCCAAAGAATAAAGGTAATGCCGCCCGGACCCCGGACCGCGGCTGCGCTCGGCCGAGCCTCCCCCGGCCTGCCCTCGGCCTCCGGGTGGCCCAAGCCGCAGTGACCTTCCCTCTCGCCTTCCGTGCCCGAGGCTGGGTGCCCCGCACGCTGCTCTCCGCTCGGGAGAGGAGCAGGAAAGTTACTCGTATTTCCCAGTTTGCTCACAGTGGGGTGGAGCCGACGCCATTTTTGTAGGGCCTCCTGAGGGAGAACGTGGGGTTTTGCTTCTGATTCGCGCCAGCCTGACCGCGGCGTGATGGGGACCAGGGGCGGGATGTTCCCGAGGCGGCCTGGGCTTTCCCGATCCGCCCTTGTGTCCTTACGGGGCCTGAGAGTCCAGCCCCGGGAGCAGTTCTGAACTTTAAAAGGGGGTTGCTTGCTCTGGCGACCATCCCATGTTCCTCCATCGGCTTCGCTGTAGGCACTTGTTCCGTATTGTTCAGGCTGCTCCCTGCCCCTTGTCAGCCGTGGGCGAAACCTCGATGCGTTTTTGAAAAGCTTCGTCTTTGGAGATTTACTCTCCTCCATCCCTTCCCAGTGTTTAACTTTATTTTTCCCCCCAGAAGACTTGCTCCATATTTAAGGCAAGTTTTCCACTTTTGCTTTCGATCACGTGTATATCGTGGGAACAAAGACCTTTAAGTTCCCTGCACTCTGAAGCGAAACGTTCACGAATGGTCAGACTGCAGGACGTTTGTGTTTTCCAAAGTGGAAGGGCCACTCTTTACAAGCAGAGCGCTCCTAAAAGAAATGCTTTCCGTAGTTGTAGTGGTTGTCATTTTATGCTACTTACAGTTTCTTGAAGACAAGTGTGCTCGTCGAAGTGGGAAAACCATTGTGTTTCCCATGGGAGAGGGGCATAGTGCACAGTCACAGGACGGCATCTTTGATTATTCATCCTTAGGACCTTCTTCCCCTGCCCCAGGCCTCCTTGGTTCTGTCCTACTTGACATTTCCTTTAAGCAGCTGTCGCTACCCACTGTCCCTGAGGGTACTTGAAGATCTGTGCACGTGTGGTTCCCACAGGACATTGCCACCTTGCTGCCGTCACAAATCTGACTTGCAGATTTTTTTGTGACAGGGACTTCTAATATTTCTAGGAAAGATGAGATGATAAACAGTATTTTTAAAGCCTTATAATTTTCTTTTAATCCATGCAATCCTGATTTCTTCTAACATCAATAGGTATCTTATCCTCGCTTTCTTTCTGGTGATGAGTTTTCCAGTATAAGTTCTAAAGAGCAGGAATAGTATTTGTCTTAATCACATTGAGTTGCTAGGACTTGACACCTGGGAGATGCTCAATAAATATTTGTTGCACCGAGTCACCCCTCTTTTGACTCCACCCTTAGGTAATTAATAGGTTCCCCTTTGGTTCCAAGGGAACAGGACTTTTTTTTTTTTTTTTTTTTAAGATGTTATTTATTTATTAGAGAGGTAGAGTTACAGATAGAGACAGAGAGAGAGGTCTTCCATCCACTGGTTCACTCCCCAATTAGCCACAACGGCTGGAGCTGTGCCAATCTGAAGCCAGGAGCCAGGAGCTTCTTTCAGGTCTCCCACGCGGGTGCAGGGGCCCAAAGATTTGGGCCATCTTCTGCTTTGCCAGTCCATAGCAGAGAGCTGGGTCATACGAGGAGCAACCAGGACTAGAACTGGTACCCATGTGGGATGCCAGCCTTGCAGATGGCTGCTGAGCCAGCTATGCCATAGTGCCGGCCCCCACTACATATAATTTTAAAATCACCAATCCTTTGGGCTGCTCATAGGTGGTTCATTTGAAGAATTGTTAAATTCGGATATATAATCAATAAACAGCAGTTATGAATAATCCTGCCCCTATTTGGAGCATCTACTCTATAGTCTGAAGATCTGATAAAAATAATGGCTTGAAATACATTTCTCTCTCCAAGAATGCCTTAGATAGTGGACTCTTAATTTTCTTGGTCAGTAGCATAGAGCAATGTGACACTTGCCCAGGAGAGAGTAGGTGCACTTGATTCAAGGTGTTGTCTGTCTGTGTAGTAACCAGTTAAATTTTATTTTTTATTTGAAAGGAAGAGGGAGAGAGATCTTCCATCTGCTGGGTCTCTTCCCTAATGCCTGCAACAGCAAAGGCTACGCCTGACTGAAACAAGAACCCGAGTACTGGGGCTCCCATCTGCTGCCTCCCAGGGTGCACATTAGCAGAAAGGTGGATTGGAAGTGCTTAGCTGGGACTCCATCTAGGCACTCCCTGATGGGATGCAGGCCACCCCACTGCTACACCAAGTTCCTGCCCAACTTTTTATTTTATTTTATTTTATTTTTTTGAGTAGTATCTGGATTGGTTTTTTTAAAATTAATTGATGTAAAGAGACAGAGCTCCCATCTGCTAGTTCACTCTCCAAATACCCACAGAGCCTGGGAGCCGGGAACTCAGTGCAAGTTTTTGACAAGGGTGGCAGAAACCCAATCACGTAAGTCATCACTGCTGCCTCACAGGATCTCCATTAGCAGGAAGCTGGAATTACGAGCCAGAGCCCAGAACCTAACCCCTGGACTCCCATGTAGCACATGCATATCAACCCCTGGGCCAGACACCCACTTCCAGTTCCATATTCTTGATTCTTTCTAGTTGTGAATTTCTTCTGTTTCCAAGCTCTTGACATGAGTCCCTTGGTATCACTCCCACTTACAGGCTTTCTCCCACGTTTTGGAAATGGCTACCAATGTGGCTTAGGTTCTGGAATGGGAACAAAATACCCTCATGGTGGGAGCTAAAAGCAGAAAGGGGTTAGGAGTGAATCTGGCCATCCCTGCTCATCGACAAGTCTTAGATGAGTTACTTAACTTCGGAGCTTCAGTGAACTCAGTTGGTAAGGCAGGAATAAGTGATATTCCCTGATTTGCCGACTGAGTAAACACAGGTTGTAATTGCATAGTATTTAAGGGTGTTGTCAGTGTGGTCATGTAACACAAACAGATATTAAGGACTAAATTTGTCTTAAAAAGAAGTTTTTTGTTTTTATTTAAAAGGCAGGGAAACAAGCAGACAGATCTTCCTTCTGCTGGTTCACTTCCCAAATGCCCAGAATGCTTGGTTTGGTTCTTGGGCCAAAACCAGCAACCTGGGACTCAGTCTGGTCTCCCACATGGATCAGAGGGACCCTACACTTGAACCATCACCTGCTAACACCCTGTGTGCACATTAGCAAGAAGCTAGAATCTGAAGTGGAGCTGGGACTCAAATGGAACCCCTGTGATATGGGATATGAGTGTCCCAAGTGCTAAACACTCATGCATAAATTGTTTTGAGTAGGGATTTCAGTATTTATAGTACCCTGCTACTGAAAGTTTGGAAAACCAGAATTCTTTGTCTAGACACTCCTTCACTTTATTTTGGAAGCATCAGGTTCTTTGTATAGGACCTGGCTTCAGAAGACACCTAAGGGGTGGAGGTGGAGGGAGTGAAAGGTGGAGGTGGAATGGGGCAGCAGGTTAAGCTGTAGCCTGCAGTGCCAGTGTCCAATATGGGCACCATTTTGAGTCCCAGCTGCTCCACTTCCCATCCAGCTCCTTGCCAGTACACCTGGGAAAGCAGCAGAAGATGGCTCAAGTATTTGGGCCCCTGCACCCATGTGGGAGACCTGAGTGAAGCTCTTGGATTGTGGCTTCTGCCTGACCCAGCCCTAGCCCTTGTGGCCATTTGGGGAGTGAACCAGTGCATGAAATGTTTCTTTCTCCACCTCCTCCCCTCTCTGTAACTTGGCCTTTCAAATAAATAAAATCTTAAAAAGGCATAGTAAGACTTCAACTTAGAAGAGTATGTATGGAGTTGTACTTTTTTTTTTTTTTTTTTTTGGAAAGGAGGGTGCTAAAGTGGAATATTTTTCTATATAACTTTATGTAATACTTGCTGTTGTATTTTATGTCAGAAACTTCCCAAAAGGAAATTCCAAGGAGGGTAGAAGGATGATAATACATTAATGTTTAATATGGTTGGTGAATGTAATCTTAATATGATTAAATAACCAAATTAGGTAAAAACCAAATTAGTTGAACTTTTGTTTTTGTAATCCTTAATTTAGTTTCTTTTCATACTGTTTTTTTTTTTTTTTTTTGACAGGCAGAGTGGACAGTGAGAGAGAGAGACAGAGAGAGAAAGGTCTTCCTTTTGCCGTTGGTTCACCCTCCAATGGCCGCCGCTGCAGCCGGCGCACCGCGCTGATCCGATGGCAGGAGCCAGGATCCAGGTGCTTTTCCTGGTCTCCCATGGGGTGCAGGGCCCAAGCACCTGGGCCATCCTCCACTGCACTCCCTGGCCACAGCAGAGGGCTGGCCTGGAAGAGGGGCAACCGGGACAGAATCCGGCACCCCGACCGGGACTAGAACCCGGTGTGCCGGCACCGCAAGGTGGAGGATTAGCCTATTGAGCTACGGCGCCGGCCTCATACTGTTTTGCAGACAATTAATGTCTTCCTCTTTAATTTTTTTAAACCATTAGGTAAAGGAGGTAAAAACAGGCGCAGAGGTAAGAACGAGAACGAATCTGAAAAAAGAGAGCTGGTATTCAAAGAGGACGGACAAGGTAAGCTTTTTCACAAGTTAAGACTCTTAGATTGATTTATTGGAGAGGCAAAGTTGCAGAGAAAGACCAAAATCTTACATCTGCTAGTTCACCCCCAAAATGCCCTCAACAGCCAGGACTTGGCCAGGCCAAAGCCAGGAACAGGGAACTCCATCTAGGTCTCCTTCGTGGGTGGCAGGGACCCAAGAACATGAGCCACCTTCTGGAATTTTTTAAAGATTTCTGTATTTGAAAGAGAGTGTTTCCTTCTGCTCATTTACTCCTGAAGTGACTGCAGCAGCTGGGGCTGGGCAGGAACAAAGCCAGGAGCCAGGAATTCCATCTAGGTCTCCACATCATGATGGGGGCTCAGTGTTTGGGCCATCTTCTGCTGCTTTCCCAGGTGCATTTGCAGGGAACTAGGTTGGAAATGGAGCAGCTGGGACTTGAACTATATCGCTCATATGGGATGGCAATATTGCAGGTGTTACCTTAACCTGCTACACCACTCTATCAGCCCTGTTAAGACTTTTTTTAGAAATATCTTTTTTAAGTATGGAATTTCAATCTGTAAATAATCCTAGTAGTAAATCTCATGTCCCTTTTGCTCTTCTCTATTTCTTGGTCATTTCCTGATCTTTTCAGTCTGTACTGAGGATTGGTGGTATTTCTGGAAACATGCAAGTTTCCTTCCTTCCTTCCTTCCTTTTTTTTTTTTTTTTTTTTTTTTTTTTTTTTTTTTTTTTTTTGTGACAGGCAAAGAGGAGAGAGAGACAGAGAGAAAGGTCTTCCTTTTCCATTGGTTCACCCCCCAATGGCCACTGCGGGTGGCGCACTGCAGCTGGCGCACTGCACTGATCTGAAGCCAGGAGCCAGGTGCTTCTCCTGGTCTCCCATGCGGGTGCAGGGCCCAAGCACTTGGGCCATCCTCCACTGCACTCCTGGGCCACAGCAGAGAGCTGGACTGGAAGAGGAGCAACCGGGACAGAATCCAGCACCCTGACTGGGACTAGAACCCGGTGTGCCGGCGCCTTAGGCAGAGGATTAGCCTAGTGAGCCGCAGCGCCAGCCAAGTTTCCTTGTTTTCTATAGACACTTGAATTATAACTAAGAATTAATTGTATAGTTCAGAGGGAATTAAGCCTGCAAAGCTGTACTTCACAATTCTGTTATTTGGAATAATGATGGGATTTTTTGTTGGTAAGTGGTGCTACACAGTGTGTTCATTAGACCATGGGTTTTTGAAGGATGACTTCGAGGTTGTTGAAAACCTCCCCCTTCTCCAGTGCCAGTATGTGGTTCTGTTTAGTTGAAGACCTGCTACTTCTTTCATCATAGGTCTCCTCAGAGCACATGACTTCAATGTATTGTGTACCATACTTAGGCAATTTAAAGCTACATCTATGGTATAGCCCATATCCCTGTTTCTCCTGCTGTCCCAATAATTTTCAGCACTTTAACAAAGAACTGTATTACCTTGTTACTGATTTTGTATTTTTCATTTTTTTGAGGGGGGGATTGGAGTGGAGGTAGAGAGAGCTCCCGTCCACTGGTTCATATCCAAATGACTAACTGCTGGGGTTGGAGATGGGAGCTGGGAACCCAAATACTTGAGGAGCCATCACCAGTGCCTCCCAGCGTCTGCATTTTGCAGGAAGCCATGTCGAGACAGAAACTGGAGGCCAGTGTTAAATCCAGCTACCCCGATACGGGGACATAGATGTCAGCCGTCAGGAAACATGCCCACTCCCTTTACAGAATTTTTGGTGAATTTATTCATGCTGTACAGATAAACCACTAAAAATGAAACAAATTTTTAGGCTAAAAGACCTTTGATTAGCCTTAGTCATTCTTGCCTCTATTAGCATTTGTCTTTAGTGGGACAGCTAATAATTGTTGATATTTTTTCCCCACTTTGCAAGAGTTTCCCCTCTGAGTTCACCAAACTTTTTTTTTTTTTTTTTTTTTTAAGATTTATTTATTTATTTGAAAGGCAGAGTTAACAGAGGCAGACGGAGAGAGGTCTTCCATCCGCTGGTGCACTCCCCAGTTGGCCGCGATGGCCGGAGCTGGGCCAATCTGGAGCCAGGAGCTTCTTCTGGGTCTCCCATGTGGGTGCAGGGGCCCAAGGACGTGGGCCTTCTGCTTTCTCAGGCCATAGCAGAGAGCCAGATTGGAAGTGGAGCAGCTGGGACTTGAACCGATGCCCATATGGGATGCCAGCACTGTAGGCCGTGGCTTTACCTGCCATGCCACAGCACTGGCCCCTCTCACCAACCACGTTAAGGCACTTGAGAGGGTACTAGGCTCAGTGTATTCTGAGTCATTTACTTCCAAATGTCAACCCTTTGGATTCCTGGGTACCCTTTTAGCAAGATTTTGGTTGTTAAAAGTTTACACCCCTTTCTTTTGCCAAATGTATTGAAATTTTGTAAGATTTCTTCTAAAGGTTCTGAGAAAAAGGCCAGTCACAGTTGGGCAGAGTTCTTAAATTTTTTTTTTTTTTTTGACAGGCAGAGTTAGAGACCGAGAGAGAGGTCTTCCTTCTGTTGGTTCACCCCCCCAAATGGCTGCTATGGCCGACGCAGTGCGCTGATCTGAAGCCAAGAGCAGGGCCCAGGCACTTGGGCCATCCTCCACTGCCTTCCCGGGCCACAGCAGAGAACTGGACTGGAAGAGGGGCAACCGGGACAGAATCCGGCGCCCCGACCGGGACTAGAACCCGGGGTGCCGGCACTGCAGGCGGAGGATTAGCCAAGTGAGCCACAGCGCCCGCCCAAATTTTTGGGAGACAGAGGCAGAGAGATTTTCTGTCCACTGGTTGACTCTCAAATGCCCAAAATAGCCAGAGTTGGGCCAGGCTGAAGCCAAAAGTGCAGAACTCTGTCGATCTCCCGCCAAGTACTTCCGCCATCACCTGCTGCCTCCCTTAGCAGGAAGTTGGAATCAGAAACAGCCAGGATCGAACCTAGGGGATGTGGGTATTCAAGCAGTCTCAGCTGCTGCACCAAACACCCGTACCTGGCCAGGGATTTGAATGTGACAGACTGATGAGGTATAGTGTACATTTTTTGGACTAGCCGCCTTGACTTGGGTAGAGAATACAGTCATGAAGACAACTACCAGTCTACTCATTAAAAATAAGTAGATAATTCAAACATGTGAAATACTACTGGAGTCTTGGTTTTAATTCTGACATTAACTAACTTGGTGTTTATAACTCTGTTGTATTTATTTATGCTTTTACTACTATATATATTTATTCCCATTCAGTATACCTATGTGTTCTTACTTGTCAGTTTTGTTTGGGTTATTTAGTTGCTTTTATCAGAAGTGAACAGTATCCCATACTCTTTTATTCCTGCCCTCTGTCCAGAGTATGCTCAAGTAATCAAAATGTTGGGAAATGGACGATTAGAAGCAATGTGTTTTGATGGTGTAAAGAGGTTGTGTCACATCAGAGGGAAATTGAGAAAAAAGGTATGTGTGGAGATTTGCTTTATTCTAGTATAAAATTGGTTATGGTGAAAATGCTTTATAGGTTTTATGGGACAAGGGCCTCATTTTTGTAAGTTCCTGGAGGATTTACCTATGTTTGACTTACCTATAATGTTAAACAGCAAGGTCTTTAGTGTTAATTCTGTTGTTTAGAAAATCATTTGCGTTATCTGTGTTGTATCCCTGCCTGAAAGGTTTAACCTGAATCTGAATCATGGAGAAGGAATAAATCCAAAATAATGAGACATTCTATAAAACAAATAGCCCAGCTTTTAATAAAATGTCATGAAAAAACATCTGGAGAGCTATTCCAGCCTCAAGGAGACTTAAAATTTGATGGTTTACAGTATGTGACCATTGTTTCAGTTCTGGTGTGGAGACTGGGGAGATAGCAGGAAAGGATATTAAGAAAATATGACTATGAATTATATTAAGTAAATGTTGAATTAATGTTAAATTTCCTGAATGTGATCATGAATGGGTTGCCTGGTAAAGTAATGATTAGTTCACTGTCACAGTAGGTGTTATTTATTTATCAGATTGTTTGAAAGTCCCAACACACACACACACACACACACATTAATTTAGTATGTGAATCCTTCTGTTTCCAATCTAAAGAGATTTTGGAAGCTGTAGGGGTTGGGAGTATGAAGAAAGGGAAGATAAAAACACATAATGTTTTGTTTTCATGAAATAGATAATAACCACTTCACAAATAATTTAATTTATAAACCAGTCATTGTTCTGAAATTTCTTGATTCTTTGTTTTTATTTATTTATTTTAAAAAGATTTATTTATTTATTTGAAAGTCAGCTACACAGAAATTTTCCATTCACTGATTCTCTCCCTAAATGGCCACAAAGGCTGGGCTGGACCAGGCAGAAGCCAGGAGCTTCATCCACGTCTACTGGTTCAGGGTCCCAAGGACTTGGGACATTTTCCCCTACTTTTCTAAATAGATTAACGTAGAACTGGGTTGGAAGTAGAGCAGACAAGACTTGAACTGTTGCCCAGATGGGATGCTGGCATTGCAGGTGGTGGTTTAACCTGCTTTGCCGCAACACCAGCTCCAATGTTTGTTTTTAAGTATAACATACAGTGGCTTTTCTTTTATAGGTTTGGATAAATACCTCAGACATTATATTGGTTGGTCTTCGAGACTATCAGGTAAATACTATATTTAAATTTTTCATTGTTTACTAGAGCCGTTTCTTAAGAGCTAGTTTGGTTATCTTTAATCAAAATTTGGGAACCATTACTTGAGGCAATACAGATGAGTGTTTAAAGCTCTCATTCTACCTAGTCTTACAGCTTGGTATTGGAGAAAATAAGACAAGGGCACAAGTAATTATATCATGTACATTCTGGCGTAAGTATGTGCTATGAGTTTAGATGAGCACTTAGGGAAAAAAGGGTTGTTGCCCTTCGTGGTTTCTACCCTGACTCATTGAGAGTCTGAACTCGATTTGATTTCCACCTGCTAAAATTCATCCCCATGTAATTATCTCTTTTTAGAGTCTTGATTCTACTTTGATTTTTAAATATATATTCCAGAATAAAGAATGAAAAGCTTCACTTTAAATCACTGATTCTCAACTATGGGTTATTTTGCCCTCCAGAGGACATTAGCAGTGTCTAGAGACATTTCTGATTATCAGAACTGAGGGAGGGGTGAAGCATTGCCAGCATATGTAGTGGATGGAGACCAGGGATGAAGCTGAGTATCTTACAATGCATAGTATCACATCCTGCAACAAAGAATTTTCTGACCTTCAAAATAATCAGTGGTCCCAACATTGAGAAGGCCTGCTTCAAATTCATAGCATTTTAATGTTCATTTTCTTCTTTTGATTGCAACAATGTAAGAACGGTTGTTTGACAGTAAGGACGGCAGTGTTGTGAAAGGAGTAACATTCCAGCTGTACAGTACAGCCAGCACTAAGTCTTTTGATTTGTAATCTCCCATGATTGGTCTTCTGTGTCTTTGCCATTTAAAGGGTAGTCTGGTGATAAGTAACATCACTGTGTCCTGGGAGCTTGTTAGAAATGCAGGGGTTGTGGTGTGTGGTTTTTTTTTTTTTTTTTTTTTTTTTTAAACAGGCAGAGTGGACAGTGGGAGAGAGAGAGAGAAAGGATTTCCTTTGCCGTTGGTTCACCCTCCAATTGCCACTGTGGCCAGTGCACCGCACTGATCCGAAGCCAGGAGCCAGGTGCTTCTCCTGGTCTCCCATGGGGTGCAGGGCCCAAGCACTTGGGCCATCCTCCACTGCACTCCCTGGCCACAGCAGAGAGCTGGCTTGGAAGAGGGGCAACTGGAATAGAATCTGATGCCCCGACCGGGACTAGAACCCGGTGTGCCGGCGCCGCAGGTGGAAGATTAGCCTATTGAGCTGCATCACCGGCCCTCTTTTTTTTTTTTTTTTTTGTTTTTTTTTAAAGA